TATACGGCTTATTAGTACTAATTTCTTTGTCTCCACTCTCGAGCTTCGAGAATGTCGATGTTAATGGCGGCTAAATCCACTTCACTCTACAACTCAAACCACCCTTCGATTTCATCTAGAATCAGCCAAAACCCTGGCGCCGTTAGATCGGTTTATCCGACGGTGAGAATGCAGACACGTGTTCACCGTCTGATCGAAGAGCAAGGCGCAGTGCTTATTCCCGGAGTCTACGACGCATTATCGGCGGCTATCGTCCAGCAAACCGGATTCTCCGCCGCTCTCATCTCCGGTTACGCTCTCTCCGCCACTACTTTAGGAAAACCCGATTTCGGTTTGATAACGTGCGCCTTTTCCCCCCCTCTTTTCTTCTATAGTCGAAATCGAAAACTCTATCTTCTGTCGTTTTATTTGATTTCGTGTATCGTTTTTAGACCGCCGGAGATGGCAGCAACGGCGAGATTGGTGTGTGCGGCAGCTCCAAAGATACCGATCTTTGCGGATGCAGGCAAGTCCACGAATCTGAGAATTCTCAACCAAATCACTGTTTTAATTGCAATTTTCATTGTTGATTAGAACTTAGAAGCTACTGCTTTATGAAATGTGAAATGCTTTGTTATTGACTACCAAGAACAATTATGTGTGCCCAATTGAGAATGTCAGAAGTTGTTTCTGTTCTGTTAAAGATTTCAGTATTTGACATTGTTTCAGATACTGGTGGAGGAAATGCCCTCAATGTTCAAAGAACCGTAAAGGACTTGATCGCAGCAGGTGCTGCTGGTTGCTTCCTTGAGGTAAAACTTTGTTCCGGCTAGTGTTTGGTACTAGTGATGGTTGAATCTCTAATGATTTGTACTCAGTTATAGTCTCTTCTGTTACTCGCATGGGCTATCTTAGATGGTGTTTATTAGAGTAACTAAGATACTTTCTTCCTCCTGTTCATCTTGACTTGCGCTAATGTTATTTTCGGGTTTCTCGCAGGACCAAGCATGGCCAAAGAGGTGTGGTAAGAGACATCATCTTCTTATTCATTCTCCGCAAAGCTATAAGCTATTGTCAAATGTTTCGAATTAGTGATAAACTCTTTTGGTCTCTATTGTCTTTTGTGTAGGACATATGCGTGGCAAAGAGGTATTAGTTTCATTTCCTCCTCCTTTGCTCCCAAAATCCATAAACTGAATGGTCGATGAGTGCAAATGATTTTAGTTCTAAATTATAACATTCGGCTTCTAACTTGGAAACAGGTCATACCTGCGGAGGAGCATGCTGCTAAAATAGCTTCAGCAAGAGACGCTATTGGAGATTCTGACTTTTTCCTCATTGCTAGGACTGATGCGCGCGCTCTTTCCGCAAAAACAGGACTTTCAGACGCCATTGACCGTGCTAATCTCTACATGGAGGTTACTACTAAATCTTGTTGTGTTCTTAAACACTGATTGCTCTAACATTTGAGAAGAAGGCAGAACGGTGGGTAATAAAGACAGATTTGAAAAATGTGCAGGCAGGAGCTGATGCTTCATTTGTTGAGGCACCGAGAGACGATGATGAGCTAAAGGAAATTGGAAAGCGCACAAAAGGGTACAGAGTGTGTAACATGCTCGAAGGTGGACGCACACCATTGCATACGCCTGATGAGCTTAAAGAGATGGGTTTTCATTTGATTGCTCACCCGCTTACCTCGCTCTATGCATCAGCTCGAGCTCTTGTTGATGTCCTGAAGATCCTCAAGGAAAAAGGAACCACCAAAGATCATTTGGAAAAGATGATTACGTTCGAGGAGTTTAACCGTTTGGTGAACTTGGATTCGTGGTATGAGCTCGAAACTAAGTACTCGAATCTCAGAAACGCTCTTGGGACAACAAAATCATAAGATTCTGAAAACACTGGCAACAAAGGCTCTTTTTCAGCAACGTCTTGATCAGCAATGTGTCATCAATAATGTTATCTTCGTTTTTCATTTGCTCTGAAACTTCTTGTATGATTGTATCACATCAATAACATTTGTGTTTTTGGTTAGCATATTCAATAAGGCTACACCAACTTCTTTTTAAGACCTATACATGTTCTCTAATTTGACATCTCAAAACTCAAAAAAAGTTCTCTCATTTAGCTTGTTCAGGCTGCTGCTTCTCCGACAAACAAGAGAATCGATGTCTCTAGCAATGTTCTGAGCATCTCTTGAAATACCAGCCAACCCTTGTCTCCCAAATCCAACGCAGTACAAACCGTTCTTCCCTTTCCAGTGATTCGGAAACTCGCGTTTCGGCATTCCATTCTCGTTGAACAGATCTCCATCATTAACCTGTATCACACACATCAGAGCCATTATATCAAAGAACAGAGTTTCTCCTTTTTTCTTACTCGTATGTCTGAAAATGCAAAAACATACCTGAAGCCATTTCGAAACACTGCTTTTGTAACCAGTTGCGAAGATGATAGAGTCGATGATTTTGATGTTTCCATCGACGAACTCAACTCTCTTCCCTTCTATACTCTTAATCGACGGAACAACCTGAATCTTGCCGGACTTAATCTCGCCCACGCAACCGACGTCGATGGTAGGTGATCGCCCGGTGAGAACCTTGTTCATAAATGGGCCTTTATTGGGCCGTATAAGCCCATATCTCGAAATACTCCCAAACCTCAGCTCCGCGAGTAAGAGGCACCAACGGTCAACTAATTTTACCGGGAAGAATCGAAGCAGCCACATTCCGATCCGTACGATCCCTCTCGTTAGAACATGCACCTATAAATTCGATTATTACAACAAAATAAAGTATTTTTATTATTCAGCTTATTACAAAATAAAAATGTTTGTTTTATGTTATGATCTTTATTTACTTACCGGACTACGAACAACGATGGAGACTTTAGCGTTCCATTTAGACAAATCGTAGGCAATCTCCATGCCGGAATTTCCACTTCCGACGACTAAAACATCTTTTCCGGCGAATTTTTTGCCGTTTTTGTATTTACTGGAATGCAAATAATCTCCTTCAAAGCTATCTACAAGCCCTGGAATCTCCGGAATCACACCTTCGCCGTTCTCTCCTGTCGCAACAACCATGTACTTCGCCGAGTAAATTTCTCTAGAAGCTATCGCCGACTTGTTCTCTACTTCCACGATCCATCTTCCACCTTTGATATACCCTGATTTGACGTCTCGGTTGTACCTAGGGTTTATGTTGAAACGTGTGGCGTATGCGTCAAGGTAATTGATGAAACCTACCTTGGAGATGAAGGTAGGTGCATTGAGAGGGAATGGCATGTGAGGTAACTGACAGAATTGCTTTGCGAGGTGAAGCTTGAGACGATCGTAAGACCTTCTTTTCCATAGAGAGGCATTGCAATCTTCTCTTTCCAACACTATGTTCGGTATCTTCAACCGGTTAAGACAAGCTGATGTTGCTAAACCGGCTGGTCCTGCACCGATTATGAGAACTAGAATCTTGATTTCTTTCTCCATTTCTTGTTGTTTTCAGTGTTGTTAGTGTGTGTTAAGGCAATTGCTAAGCTGAACTCACTCTGTCAAAACTGGATTGAAGTGTGTGTATATTATATACATCACTGAATTTTTTAGGGAACCTAAATGATTGGAATTACATAAATTATAACTTGGTTACTCTAAGTGGTGAATCATTGGATATGTTGGAAGATTTATGATCTGTCTTTGCTATTTTTTTGCAAGTGATTTGCTCTGTGGAAGTAGTCTTAGACTGAGTCAACACACGGTTGTCGTTTTAAGATTTCCTTAATTACTCTAGTCAATAACTTGTTAATTACATTTTTAAAAAATTTCCGAACAATTGTTTCTCGAAATTACATATTGGAGACAGTTCAGAGTCCGTACTTGCGTACGAGTGCGGAAAAATGAGGCACTATATATATAGAGATATCATTATTAGAAGACAGAATGTTGCTTTCTGTCGGATTTTGTTTTTCTCCATAATTAGAAATCTGAGACTGACAAACGAAAGTGTTAAGCAGTGTTCATCTATGACCAGTCCTAGCTACGCGAAAAGACACTACTTTAGGTGAATCATTGTAACTATTACTCGCTACATTTGACTTAATTATTGTGATGAAAACTAAATTGTTAGCCGCGTCAATACAGCTTGCAATATTTTCAGCATATCGTCACTTTTCGTATCACTGCCGATATACACATAACTATTAGCTCTCGGTCTAAGAAAACATAAGTCCACTTTTTTTTTGTTGGTTATCCTGCTATTTTGATGTATTAAATTAGATTAGTTTTTACGGTAAAGCTTCATACGTAGTACGTACCTCGTTTCTTTATAATTATCGTTGTGGAATTCTATTTTTATTTCACAAAAATCTTCTTTTTATTTGATTCAAAATTTGTTTTTAGCATGCAGTGAACAATATTAAAACCGGAGGCTAATTAACCATTTTAAAAAAATAAAATATTACATTTAAAGTTTGTATACGAATGAAATCTTCGTTAGCAAACAAAAAAAAATGAGTGAAAATCAAAGCTATTTACTTATCTCAATAAGAGAGAATGGTTAATAAGTTGCAATTTTATTATATGCACAACAGAACGTTATATAATAGAATATCTAAAATTAAATATTTGAATCTTTGACAAAAGGGTTCTATGGTGTAGTGGTTATCACTCTGGACTTTGAATCCAGCGACCTGGGTTCGACTCCCGGTAGGACCTTTTTTTTTTTTGTCTCACTTTTGCATACATATTTAAGGCTAATTACACGGCCTCACCGAAGGTCCGGTTCGTTTTTGTCTACCATCAACCCTCAAGATCCCATAGAGGAAGCTAATGGGAAAGATCACAGGAGGAAATTTTATTTAGTTAGACAAATTCTGCCTTCAACAATAAGTAGTAGTAACAAAGAGGTCTTACAGAGAAGTTATGTGCCAATCTCCCTCACATAGCACCAACATACACGAGATCTTTCAAGACAAAAGAAAGAACAATTCAAAAGCTTTTAATTCTTCACATACATATCTTAAAAAGCTACATCCTTTATAATACGATGATTCTACATACAACATTTCTATTCCTCTGTTTCAATGAGCCGGATAAGGAACCGAGCTGTGCGTGCGATGAGCTTGAAGAATACAAGCACAGTGCACAGATGTTAAGTTCAGACAACCGCTCATGACAAGCGAATGCCTTCCCGAACATGTGTGAAGAGCGGGAAAGGTATCGCAAACTGCTTGAACCGCTGACGGTGTAAGGGCAGTGCATTGGCTGATGTTGAGACTTCTCAGCCCTTCTTCATCGTATTTGCCTTTCTTAACCGATTTCCATAATCCTGGTTTGTTCTTTACCCCGCTTTGAGCTAGTGAGTACATCGCTCTGTCCGTTATGTTTCTGCAGTAGTATAATCCCAACGACCTCAAGTGGACACACCAGTTTGCTAAAGCTACCACACTCTCATCTGCAAAAAAATACATGACATAATTTAGTTGGATTTCGAGCTTTAAAGGGTCTCAAAGATCAATAGTTTTCTGAGTCCATCTATAGAGGCCAAACCGTTAATAATAGTTCCGAGTAATCTAACTATATGAATTACCTGTAATGAGAACACAGCCACACAAGTCCAGGGTCCTGAGATCCGGGCAGCCATAAGCTAAACTCATAACCCCATCATCACTGATATTCTCACACCATCCCAAGTTAAGTGACTGCAACTGGTTACAGTTATTCCCAATAGCCTGCAAACATCATGCCGAATAGTTTTTTAATTTTGTCAATCAGCCACTCTATGACCAAATGAGCAAAAACCAGATAGAGAGATAATATTAAAAGGTAGAATTCACCTCCAAGGCATGGTCAGAAACAGCGTTGACACATCCGCACAGATTCAAAACTTTAAGCTTTCTGCAGAATCTGGTCAAACACGCAATAGCAGTGTCGCTGAATGAGGTGCATCCGCTAAGGTTGAGTTTTGTGAGGTTAGGGCAACCATGAGCAAGGGCGTAAAGCGAACGATCAGTAAGTTTCAAGCTTTTGCTGAGATCAAGCTCTTGTAGCTCATGGCAGTGTTTTGCTATAGCCTCCACTGCATTATCCACTAGTTGCGGTTTGTCCTGACGCAGTATCAAAGTCTGCAGCTTTACAAACTTAGGAGCAATAGAAAGAACCAAGCTGTTCATGTTGTTGTTGCACCTGGTACAAAAAAGAAGAAGACATAGAATCAGAGAGTTTGACAAAAAGATCAATCTGACTACACTACAAGTAACAAGAACAAAGCTTATAAAGTTTCAAAGACTCAAGAGTCTAAATATATACTCCCTCTGGATTAAAGAGCTTGCCTTTTTACCTCCTAACGAAAAATTAATCCATCATCTTGAAGGTTTAAGCAACAAATTGATGAAATGTTCCCAAAAGGTCTGATCTTTACACAAACCAGATAAAATTCAACATAACCCTTTAATCAAAGACACTGGAAACTCAACACCCACTTCAAATCCAAAACACCAACACAGAGAGAAACAAATGATTATGCCCTAAATAAAATTAGAGGGTTTTAAAGGGTT